AATCCCAGAGGTAGTAAAATCAGAAGCTACAAATTACCCAGTTCCAGGAAAATGGGAGTGAAAGGGATAACAAAGAATTAGGAAATTAGGGACAAAATGAAGTCAGAAGCTGCTACAACAATAAGAGCCCAGCAAACTCCAGAGAAAAATCTTGGGAAAATGAGTTTTTTGGAATACCACTATGTGCGTTATGGTTTTTATACGAGACGTTCTGTCTTCTTCGATTATGCGAAATTGCTTTTACATCTTCAGTGTTTTTCTTGGTTCATTTTTACGAGATCACTGACTGCGCCGAGCAACGGTATGTCAGACCCAAAGTGCTCTAAGAAAAATCTCAGAATTTTTCCAATAAAGTTTTCCTACAAAGTACCGAAGGAATGTGGAAAGTCTAAAAAATTTAAATGATCTAAAAAAACTTGAGAATTTAAAACGAGTTAAGAACTGATTTCTTTAAGAAATTCAAAACACTTCTTGAGAATGGGTGTGGCCTTGGTACAGTAATTGTGTGGGAGACTATCATAATTGATGGGAGGCAGTTCATTTCAAAAATGTCACCGATTACCAATGGAAGTGTGAAGTGGGTGAGCGAATCGCGGTAAATCCATGAGATTCCTTTCTAATTCTTTCAAATCACAAACGAGTGCACTGTCCCATAGCAGACGTGCTGGGAGGGACCGAGAATAGAGAATGAAAAACTGAAAAGTTGACCACCCACTGTCATTTGCTGAAATTCACAAACAATTTTCCAGTTTGTTTGTTTACGAAGTCACAGAAAACTAGATAAGTTAGGAAGTTGAGATCAGTTCCAACGATTCAGTGCACTTAGTCGATCTTCAATGCACTGTCTTAGCCAGGATTTATTTCAGGAAGAAATACTCGTAGTTTTTTGGAAGAACAAACCGGAAAATGTGTTTTATTTGCTTACTGATCTTACATAAACACGCTCCCAGCTTTTTAATTAGTTTTTTCCCCACAAAGCTATGACGTTGAAAAATATCATCGTGGTGTCGTTTTGCAAGGAACTGAGCAGTGTCAGGACTAAAGCTGTCTGCTCTAGTGAGGGGCGAGAGTCGGTGAGAGTTCAGTGACACTATTTTCCCGCGGTTTTTTGGGGCTCATCACGTCACCGTCTGGCTTTGGTGGCGTC